AGCTTTATTGAAAGTGAAAATATTCAAAAAAAAAGTAATACTTTGATAGAGATAATCATGGAGTACTTCTGTTTAAACTCAGAAATTATGGTATAAAAAGATAGAATAAAAATAAATTAATTGCTAAATTAAATTATGCAAACCTTTTCTTATTGAACGAATAATCTACAATATTTACATTTATAGTTCTGGTTAATGCAGAACTGTAAATGTAAAAATAAGGGTAATCATAAAGCTAGGTCGTGTCTAACACACACAAGCACTTTTTAATGAACTCAATAAACTAAATCTAATTAACTAAACCTTTATTATATGTTTATCTTTGTGTTTTCTAATCGTGCCACTACTATATTCTGATAAAATAACTGCATTGGAACTGTGCCCAAGTTGTGATCAGACGGCACCTGTCTGCTTCAGTCCAGCGGAACATTTTTAATGCTGTATTGTTGACATATCGCAAAGTACCCCCTTAGGGGTACTTTGCGATAAAATATATTTTATAGAGGTACTCTTTATTCCCCGAGTAAAAAGTACCCCTTTTTGCGGTGGCTATATATATATAGTTATATATATATATATATATATATATATATATATATATATATATATATATATATATATATATATATATATATATATATATATATATATATATATATATATATATATATATATATATATATATATATATATATATATTATTTTAAAACATCAAAAATACGATTTCTCTCAACACTTATAATTTTTTATTATTATAGAAATTTTCGCTGGATTTTAGATACCAGCTTCTTCAGCTTGTTAAATGTTACAGTAATTAGTAAACCGTTATAATTTAAATTAAAACGTTGCTATTGACGTCAGCGGTTGAATGGCTTCTTTTTCGCTGAAATTTAAAAAATGGCGTCCAAAACTTAGTTTTTACGTATTGACCCTCATCGAGATTAATCCCGCCATTTTTTGCAGAACACATGTTTTTTTGTATTTCTAGGGCTTCCCTAACTTTTCTTTCAAATTTTTTATTTTCTACTTTCAATGTTTTTGTTTGTTCCCAAATAATTTCTTTTTTGCAAAATGTTTTATGCAGAGCTAATGCAGATTGATGCTGCTTATTTTCATCAATGCTTTTTTGGTGTTGATGCATTCTTGTGTTTACTTTCATTTTTGTTTCGCCTACATACACTTTTGAACAGTTGCATTTGATTATATATGTTCCTGGTTGACTGTTATTGGGTAATTTTGATTTATTCTTTGATGTTAACAGGGATCTTAAGTTTGGGTTTGATTTGAATACCGCTCTGTAACCAGCTTTTCGGAATATTTTCCTAAGTTTTGGCGAGAGACCGGGTACCCATGGTAAGGAAACTACAGGATAATTATTGATTTCAGATGGAATTGTAATTTTATTTTGTCTTTTGTGTTGAAACTGATGCGCAATATTCATCATTTGAGTTTTATCGTAACCATAAAAAGAAATTATTTGGGAACAAACAAAAACATTGAAAGTAGAAAATAAAAAATTTCAAAGAAAAGTTAGGGAAGCCCTAGAAATACAAAAAAACATGTGTTCTGCAAAAAATGGCGGGATTAATCTCGATGAGGGTCAATACGTAAAAACTAAGTTTTGGACGCCATTTTTTAAATTTCAGCGAAAAAGAAGCCATTCAACCGCTGACGTCAATAGCAACGTTTTAATTTAAATTATAACAGTTTACTAATTACTGTAACATTTAACAAGCTGAAGAAGCTGGTATCTAAAATCCAGCGAAAATTTCTATAATAATAAAAAATTATAAGTGTTGAGAGAAATCGTATTTTTGATGTTTTAAAATAATATATAAATATACTCTCACACAAGATGTTATCCTTTAAATCATATATATATATATATATATATATATATATATATATATATATATATATATATATATATATATATATATATATATATATATATATATATATATATATATATATATATATATATATATATATATATATATATATATATATATATATATATATGTATATATATACTCACCCATTTGTGCTGGCCTCGTATTGTGCGCACTAAACAGTCAACAACGAATTCAAATTTAAAGAACTAAAAATTGATGAACTCAAAAATGCAATTAACTCTCTTTAAATAAACAAGTCTCCAGGTACAGATGACATTTGCAAGAATATTTTTGTTGATGTCTTTTCGGAGATACGCAAACCTATTTTGGAAATATTCAAGTCATCAATTAAAACTGGAACTGTACCAGTTAAATTAATAGTAGCTAAAATTGTACCTATTTATGAAACCGGTGAAACATTTATAATAAACAATTACAGAATATGCAATTTTAGATTACACACAACAGAACATGCAATTTTAGATTTAATTAACAGCTTAAGAGATTCTTTCAATAAAAAGCAATTTGTATTAGGATTTTTTATAGACCTACCCAAAGCATTTGACACTATTAATCATGATATCTTACTAAAAAAATGGAAAAATACGGAATAAAAAATACTAGCCTAAATTGGTTTAAAAGTTATCTGTGCAACAGACAGCAATGTGTGATTTCGAATAATAATAAATATTCAAGTTTACTAAAAACAAAATGCGGAGTTCCCCAAGGCTCCATTCATGGTCCTCTTTTATTTTTAATTTATATTAACGATCTTCTTTAATTCCTAAAAAAACTCGATGCAATAATGTTTGCTGATGACATATTTGTTTTATTCATCAGCATCAATTAAAAATCTCTTTAAATCTGTGAACGATGACCTTGAGAACCGAAACATTTGGTTTAAAGAAAATAATTTATCTTTAAATACAGAAAAAACAAAACACCTCTTGTTTCATTTTAGCCAGCAAAAAAAAAAAAAAAAACAAGCATGTTACCATTACTAAATTTGATAACATAACCATCGAAAGAACTGAAACCATTAAATTTCTTGGGATAATTATTGATGAAAAGATTTCTTGAAAAACCCATATAAAAACATTAAATACAAAAATATCAAAAAATATCGGTATACTATAAAAAGTCAAACCTATACTTTCCCAGGAGAATCTAAAATTTCTCTACTTTTCTTATATACAAATTTATCTAAAATATGCTAATATTACTTGGGGAAGTAGAAAGAAATCTAAACTAAATTCGCTATATATACACCAGAAACACGCATCAAGATTGATTTATAATAAAAATAAATTTATGCTGATCTTTTACTTAAAAACTTAAATGCTTTAAATATCTATTAAATTAACATCTACCAAAATATTTTATTTATATTCAAATATAAGCTGGGAGTTGTCCCAAATACTTTACTAATAACTTTTTTCAAACCAACGCCAACAGATATATTACACGAGGAACAGGAAACTTCACATTGTCCATAAAAAAAACAAAAAACTTTCGAGATTTTTATTGTATAAGGTGGCCCCTACTTATTAAAACAAAATAATACCATAAAATATAGAACTTACTAAATTGGATAATCTTATTGCCCTGAAGAAAAAACTAAAAGATTTCATAATTAACAAAACCAATTTTATTAATATGTATTAAATGTAAAAGAATATTTAATATAATAAAATGTAATAAGAACAATTTAAATTATAAAAATAAATAAAAGCAAAATAAAAAAAAAAAAACATAAAAAAATTAAAATAGATATAGTAAACAACTTGTTTAAATCTATTTATTTTTATAATTTAAATTGTTCTTATTTACTATGTATTTTACTATGTATAACTATACATATATTTGTTTAAAACAACTATATGTACAGTTAATACATAGTAAAATACATAGTAAAATATTACTTAATACTTAATACATAGTAAAATATTACTGAACGGCAGACCTCAAAAAGTTAATGATTTATAAATTTACTTCTTAAATACTTAGTTTATTTCAGAGTTGTTAGTTCTCGGCCTTGACCTTGCATTAAAGCCAAATATTGGGGCCTTGGCCTCAAAAAATTGAAGTCTTTGATCTTGAAAATATTTGTGTAGGTCTTGGCCTTGAAACTCCTTATTTTGGCCTTGACATTCAAACTCTTGGCCTTGTAACGTGTGGCCTTGGTACTTTTGGCCTTGCTAACAAGTCTTGTTTATTTTGTATTTTGAAGTTTTTCGATGAAAAGTCTTCTCTTAGTTATTTCATCTAGTTTCCTTACAACTAAATAGTTTTATAATACATCAATATATATTTTCAACTACATCCACAAGCAAGTCCCTAGAAGCCCCTGTGGTGCAACGGACTTGCTTATATTTTTTAAATGGATGAGTTAATAGCAAGCACTTTATATTATAAACCACAAATTTTTAAATTGGTTTATCAGTCAAACGCGCATGCGTAAACAGCGTTTTTAACGCTCTTTAGATGTTGTAAATATGTGTAATGGACATTTATATAAATTTGAGAAGTGTAAATAATATTTGTTCTTGAAATATATAATAATGATTGTTGTAAAAAAAATAATAATAATAATTAAGTTTTTGTAATAATTTAAGATTCGTATACAAAATATATAAAATATATCGTATATAAAATATAATGAATGTAACATAAATATCACTCGTATATAAAATAAAATGTTTTTGCATATAATCTTTTACGCATGCGTTTATGTGAAAAATGTAAACATCTATAATCTGCGTTAATATAATCAAGGAATAAATGGAAAAAAGTTGTTACAACAAAATCAGTTTTGAGGTTTATGCAATTGTATCCTATAACATATACTATTGTATCCTATGGAATTCTTATGTACAGCTTTGAATTTATAGCGAAATTATTTTGGATTATACTTATGATATCAGCGTTATAAGAACACTGTTTAAAATAATAACACTGAAAAATCTACTTTATTTAAATATATATTTTCCCTTTAATCTATAAATTTCGATAATAATTTTTTTGAATGAATGATAGTATTTATATTTTTAAATATTTAAAAAATATTTATTGTTATTCTACATATAAATTTAAATAAATAAACTTTATCTTTGTTAGATGTAAACATAAAGTAAAATTTAAATTATGTGGATGGTCCAGCATGGAGAAGTAGATAATGGAAACATTAGAGAATATGGCGGAGGAAGTGATATGGACATTGTTTCTTTTGAAGATAGTGAACAGTTTGAAGAAGGTGATTCAGGTTGTTCATGGGTTTCAGAAACAGAGCAAGTTCTAAACTGGTCAGGATGGAAGCGTTTATCTCCAACTCAAATGGTTGAAAAAAACCCTTCAATTTTTGAAGTAAATGATGTTTTTGTCTTTTTTAAAGATATATTTAAAAGTTAAAACATTTAGTATACATGAAAATAAGCTTTAATAGTATTAAACCAACTTTATATTAAAACTACCTTGTTACTTCAGTTGAGCATTTTAAGTCAGATTTTTTGTAGTTACATTGTACATATTTTGCATCTTATTTGATTGCCTTTCTTTCCATTATCAAAGCCATTATCAAAAAAAAAACTTTATTATATAAAACTTTATTAAGAAAATGTTTATTTCTTATTTTTTTGGTATTAATTCTTCTGATTTGATTTTCAGTATATAACTTTTAGTTATAATGGGTGATGCAATGTTTTTTTGTAAATAAACCTAGTATATATAACAAAAAAAGAAATCTTAAATCATTTTGAAAAGGAAGGATTTGCTCAAAATACAATATATGATAACCTAAAATAGACTTAAAACTGTTTAATCCTTTTCTGATAGAAAGCACAATGGTCATCCAACATCCTGAACTAGAGAAAAGCAAGCTGAATTAACGAGACTTGTCAACATTCGAAAAGGGGTCAGTTAGAGAAAATTCGATGTAAATCAATTGATAATAGGTCTTCAGTTTAAAAAAATGAATAATAAATATAGAAAACGTGAAAAGATTCCAAAATATACATATACACTATAGAACAACAATTAAAGCAAAGAAAAGAAGCAGGAAGCTACTTAACCAACTCTATAACACAATATCGCTTCTGGTCATTGTTGACGAAAAAAAAAATTGTTTTGCAGGGGACAAAATGCCTGGAAATTTTGGATACTTTACAAACAACAAAAGAACATGTCCAGAAAGAGTTCATTTTATAGGAAAAGAGTAATTTCAAAAAAAAATTATTAATGTGGATAGCCATATCTGGGCATGGTATGTTCGAGTCATTGTTTTGCTTCCATTGATCTATATTGATAAATGTGTAAATAAACGACTTCTTAAATTCATTAACAAGCATCATGGAGAATGTAACTAATTATTTTGGCCAGATTTAGCAAGTTCTGATTATTCTAAAAAATTTTTAAATTGGATTGACCAATATGTCTATTACATTAATAAAGAATCCACCCCCCCCCCCTAAATGTGTCTCAAGCATGAAAAATTGAAAACTTTTGGGGACATTTGGCACAGAAAGTTTATGAGGGAGATTGGCAAGCTTCATCAGAGCAAGTTTTGATTGAACAAAGT